ACAATGACTAGGTTTTGGTTCTCGACCTTTACTGCTAAAACTTCCACTACATCATTTGAGGCATTTAGCAGTTCGTGTGCAAACAAGTGACTCTGCAATGTACAGGCCAACCCCCCCCCTTTTGCCTGTTCACTCTGTCACATCTGTATAGGTTGTAACCTGGGATCCATATTTCGTTGTCCAAGTGATCCTTTATGTGGGTCTCAGTGGAAAGCCGCAAAACATGCCTTTGCCTCTGCAAGCAGTCCACGGATGAAAGGTATTTTGTTGTTTGTTGCTGGCTTTAGACCCTGTATATTTGCAAAGAAGAATGTTATCGGACTGGTGGTATTGTTGGTACTGGGGGGGTTTTTTTTTCCCGGGCATTAGTATCTGTATCTGTTGGGTTTGGAGTGGACGCCATCGACTGTGGTTCCACTCCAGGAATGACTGGATTTGGTGTACAATTTCTGCCATTTCCTGCCAGTTTTTTTTCCTTCCTGGCACTAAAAAACCTTCCTCTTGAGTGGCTGTGGCTACCCAGGTTTTCCCATGGCCTGGATGTTTTGTATCTTTTTGTCCCTTTAAAAGGTATGCCTGGCAATTTAAGTTATAGCACAGTTTTTCCCTGTACTGAAGAGGTACACAGTTCAGGGTGAAAAAGCTTACAGGAAGGGAGTTTGCTTTTTTCCTGTTGTCATATGGGCATGGCATTTCCTAGGGTGGTCATAGTTGCACGCCCCATCTGTTTTTCCAGATTTCCCTGGCCAGCAGATACCGAGTGCATAGTATGTGCACAGGGTTGGTTTCCGTTTGCCTTGGGTTTCTGTGACTGTATTCCCTGTTGGTGCATGTTTCCCTGTCTTATTTATCCTCCCTAGCAACAACAATGGAGCTCCCACCATTTGTTTTTGGTAATATATCCTCACTATTGCTAGTGGAGTCCTCTTGTTTGCTATTTCCTGCGGTATTTCTAGTTTGCAATATTGGTTTTTATCTTATCTTTGACTACACTTGTTTCCCTACTATGGCTCCTGTCCCCTATGAGGTCATTCATATGTATTCCTTCCTGCGTATAATTCCGACTACCTGGACAAAATCTCCAGCTTCACCATTACTGTCTCCCAGGACAGCATCTCCAGCTTCCCCATTACTGTCTCCCAGGACAGCATCTCCAGCTTCACCATTACTGTCTCCCCGGACAGCACCTCCAGCTTCACCATTTTTCTGTCTCCCAGGGGCAGCACCTCAGCTTCCCCATTACTGTCTCCCAGGACAGCACTATCAGCCCCCCAATTTACTGACTACCAGGACATCATCTCCAGCCTTACAGTTTCTGACTACATGGCCAGTATCAAGGGCAGTACCATTCAAGCCCGGACTTTTTTTGTTCCCATCTTTGTAGAAGCTTCCAGGTTTTTCTATGAAAGCAGCTTTGATGTTGACCCCTTTTAATACCCTTGTGATTTTAGTCCACAGATTTATCTATTTGGGCATACCCAAAAACACTTCCCTGTTTTAATACTGCTTGTAGCTAGTTCTTGGATTTTGCACAAGGGGCGTGACACAATTTCCACAGAAATGACAATTTATGCATGTGGAAGCCCGTTTGTTTGACTGACCACAGGGCTACACACAGCTTCTAATGATTTGAATGGTTGATTTACTGCAATTCTACTAGCAACCTCTTGAATATTCTATTAATAACCTGCTAGGTGGTGCACAACGAAACCGTTTGAAAAACCCGTCCAGGGTTCGGACCAGTCTATCTGATCTGATCAGGGGTCACTTATTTAAACCATACTGGTCGGTGATTTGAGCTAACACATGAAGGATCTACTGGAAATTATCTACCCGAGTAATATGTGATTTGATTGATACAAAAGTATAACTTGCGTGTTGAAGAGCCGGTGACTGCTGGCACTCCTACAATGACGAACGGTCGAGCCTCCACCTTTGTTTATCAATCGCTGTATCTAGCTTCTCTATTTTTTTTTTTCCGTCTCCACCACAATAAATGCTATATTATCACTATAGTTGACTGGTGCAAATTTTGGAGGAAGGGCACTTTTTCTGTAGTAATAGGAATAGGAAGCAATAGGAAGAAAGTGAAAACAAAATAAAAGTATAAGTGAAGGTTGGTAGCAGGCCTACAGGAAGTGGTCCTACCATAGTCAGGCTATGTGTCATAAATAAGGAAAATAGCGAAGTTACCAGCAGTTAAAGTGTAAATACTTGAGGGGTGTGTGGAGAAAATATGTATATACACACACACACACACACACACACACACACACACAGTGGAACCTTGACTTACAAGTTTAATCCGTTCTGTGACCTAACTCGTAACTCAATTTACTCATATATCAAATCAATTTTCCTCATTTAATTAACGGAAAAGCCATCAATCGGTTCCTGCACTCTGGAGACAAGACAAAATATACTTGAATATGACGCTATTATCAACTGTACAGCTTATTTATGTATCACAATTCATCTAATATGACATAATAAAAAATATAATTAACAGAGAAACATGATATATATTGTAGAATGAATAAAATAGGCCATAATATGGTGGCAGAGGCAGTGGCGAAAGTGTCTACCATTTCCTGTCCAACTTTGACTATAGTATCTTCCCGTGCTCTTAATGTAAGAGAAAACGGAGCATTTGTGAGGCGAACTGCAGTAGATCACTAGTTTTCTAAGGAACACTGAATTTTTTTTTATTATTAATTAACACATCGACTGATTCCCACCAAGTCAGGGTGGCCCGAAAAACAAAAACTTTCATCATTCACTCCATCACTGTTATAAAACAGTTATAAAACTGCAACATTAATACCCCTCCTTCAGAGTGCAGACACTGTACGTCCAATCTCCAGGACTCAAGTCTGGCCTGCCGGTTTCCCTTAATCCCTTCATAAATGTTACTTTGCTCACACTCCAACAGCACGTCAAGTACAGTGGACCCTCGCCTAACGAATGCATCGCATAACGTTAAATTCGCCTAACGAAGCATTTGAGTGTAAAAATTTTGGCCCTCTTAACGATAAAAAACTCGCCCCAAAGTGATTCCTCCCCAAAACTGTCCGTCCAGCCTGAGCACCTCAGCTGCCTTCCCGTCATTGTTTACAAGCCAGGGTGGCCGGTTGCATGCATACATTCTATACATTTTGTATTCCATTGTTTATAGTGCTTGTAACTGCTAAATAAGCCACCATGGGCCCAAAGAAAGCTTCTAGTGCCAACCCTGTGGTAAAAAGGGTGAGAAATACTATCGTACCACAGTCAGCTGCTGCTGCACCACCATCAGCTGTTGCTGCACCACAGTGAGCTGCTGCTGCACCATGGTCAACTGCTGCTGCATCGCAGTTGTTGCTGAACCACTGTCAGCTGCTGCTGCACCACAGTCAGCTGCTGCTGCACCACAGTCAGCTGCTGCTGCACCATGGTGAACTGCTGCTGCACCACAGTCAGCTGTTGCTGCACCACCATCAGCTGTTGCTGGACCAGTCAGCTGTTGCTGCACCACAGTCAGCTGCTGCTGCACCATGGTCAACTGCTGCTGCACCACAGTCAGTTGTTGTTGAACCACTGTCAGCTGCTGCTGCACCACAGTCAGCTGCTGCTGCACCATGGTGAACTGCTGCTGCACAACAGTCAGCTGTTGCTGAACCACAGTGTGCTGCTCCTGCACCACGGTCAGCTGCTGCTGCACCACAGTCAGCTGCTGCTGCACAATGCTGAACTGCTGCTGCACCACAGTCAGCTGTTGCTGGACAGGCTGCAGACCTGGTCCAGTAATTGGCTCCTGGAGTTCAACCCCACCAAATGCAAGGTCATGAAAATTGGGGAAGGGCAAAGAAGACTACAGATGGAGCCAGACACTAGGGGGCCAGACACTACAAACCTCACTCAAGGAAAAAGATCTTGGGGTGAGTATAACACCAGGCACATCTCCTGAGGCACACATCAACCAAAAAACTGCTGCAGCATATGGGCGCCTAGCAAACCTAAGAACAGCATTCCGCCATTTTAATAAGGAGTCGTTCAGGAGCCTGTACACTGTGTATGTTAGGCCCATATTGGAGTATGTGGCACCAGTTTGGAACCCACATCTAGCGAAGCACGTGAAGAAACTAGAGAAAGTGCAAAGGTTTGCAACAAGACTAGTCCCAGAGCTAAGGGGTATGTCTTACGAGGAGAGGTTAAGGGAAATTGACCTGACGACACTGGAGGACAGGAGAGATGGGGGGGGGAACATGATAACGACACATAAAATACTGAGAGGAATTGACAAGGTGGACAGAGACAGAATGCTCCAGAGATGGCACACAGCAACTAGGGGTCATAGTTGGAAGTTGAAGACACAGATGAATCACAGGAATGTTAGGAAGTATTTCTTCAGTCACAGAGTAGTCAGGAAGTGGAATAGTTTGGGAACTGATAAAGTAGAGGCAGGACCCATTCATAGCATTAAGCAGAGGTATGATTAAGCTAATGGTGCAGGGAGTGACCCAGTAGCAGCCAGTGAAGAGGCAGGGACAGGAGCTATGACTCAACCCCTGCAACCACAACTAGGCTAGTACAACTAGGTGAGTACACACAATATGGAGCAGGGAGAGAGAGGACATAGTAGCAATCAGTGAAGAGATGGGGCCAGGAGCTATGAATCAACCACTGCAACCACAAATAGGTGAGTACACACATCACCTCACCCCATACACACACACATGCGCACACACACACACACACACACACACGTCACCTCACCACACACACACAGAGGTCAACTCACCACCACACTTCTCTACCATAGTAGCCACCATCACCACACACACACACACAGGTCAACTCTCCACACACACACAAGACAACTCACCACACACACAGGTCAACACACAATACACACACAGGTCAACACACGATACACACACAGGTCAACACACGATACACACACAGGTCAACTCACCACACACACACAGGTCAACTCACCACACACACATAGGTCAACTCACCACCACACTCCTCTATCATATTAGCCACCATCTCCACATCATCGCTGGCTCGGCTGAGAATGTTGGAGATGCCGTCCAGGACGACCTGGATGACCTGCGTGTCCTTACAGGTCAACAGGTTGCAGAAAGGTGGGATGACGCCCTCGCTCACCAGGTATGACACCTGTAACCAGGTATACACCTGTCACCATGTATTAAATTGATACATACATGTCTACAGATCAGGAAGAATCAAGGTGACATACACACACATGTACACAAACTTGTTTACAACCAGAGAGAGTACCAAGATTTTGTAAACTACCAGAGATACTACCCAACCTATTGTTTACTACCAGATAGTACTCCACCTGTTCTTTACTACCAAACCTGCTGTTTACTATCAGAGATACTACCTACCTGTTGTTTACTACCAGAAACAGTACTCTACCTGTTGTTTACTACCAGATACTACCTACCTGTTGTTTACTACCAGAGATAGTACTCTACCTGTTGTTTACTACCAGAGTATCTACCTGTTGTTTACTACCCAAGATAGTACTCTACCTGTTGTTTACTACCAGATAGTATCTATCTGTTGTTTACTATCAGAAATAGTACTCTACCTGTTGTTTACTATCAGAAAGGGTACTCTACCTGTTGTTTACTACCAAAAAGGGTACTCTACCAGTTGTTTACTACCAGAGATACTACCTACCTGTTGTTTACTAGCAGAGACAGTACTCTGTTGTTTACTACCAGAGACAGTACTTTACCTGTTGTTTACTGCCAGATAGTATCTATCTGTTGTTTACTATCAGAGATAGTACTCTACCTGTTGTTTACTAACAGAGATACTACCTACCTGTTGTTTAATACCAGAGAGAGTACTCTGTTGTTTATTATCACAGCACTCTACCTGTTATTTACTACCAAAGATAGTACCTACCTGTTGTTTACTACCAGAGATACTACCTACCTGTTGTTTACTACCAGAGATAGTACTTACCAGTTTACTACCATAGTACCTACCTGTTGTTTACCAGAGATAATACTCTACCTGTTGTTTACTACCAGATACTATCTACCTGTTGTTTACTAACAGAGATACTACCTACCTGTTGTTTATTACCAGAGAGAGTACTCTGTTGTTTATTATCACAGTACTCTACCTGTTATTTACTACCAAAGATAGTACCTACTTGTTGTTTACCACCAGAGATAGTACCTACCAGTTATAAATAACAAAAAGGCACAATACCGTGACTGGAACGATACACAAATAACCCGCACATAAAAGATAGAAGCTTACGACGACGTTTCGGTCCGACTTGGACCATTGACAAAGTCACACTAACAGAGTTGTGTTGTGCATGTGTCATTTCATCCTGTCGGTATTATATACAATTCTTGTACTACTACTACTACTACTACTACCTCCACCTCTTCCTGCCTATATATAGCCGTCCTGCTCCACCTCTGTTAGTGTGACTTTGTCAATGGTCCAAGTCGGACCGAAACGTCGTCGTAAGCTTCTCTCTTTTATGTGCGGGTTATTTGTGTACCTACCAGTTGTTTACTACCAGAGATAGTACCTACCACTTTAAGGGTGATGGACTGATTACATCGTCTTCAAGTCTCTTCTGCTTCTATCAACTTTTCTGTACTCGACTGAAGAAGCCTACTGTGTAGGCGAAACGTTTCGTAATAAAGATACCTAACTGTTGCATATGTGTCTTACCTAACAACCTGTCGGTATTTTATACCATTTTAATGTTCACCAGAGATAGTACCTACCTGTTTACTACCAAAGATAGTACCTACCTGTTGTATACTACCATAGTACCTACCTGTTATTTACTACCAAAGATAGTACCTACTTGTTGTTTACCACCAGAAATAGTACCTACCAGTTGTTTACTACCAGAGATAGTACCTACCTGTTGTATACTACCAAAGATAGTACCTACCTGTTGTATTACTACCAATAGTATCCTTTTACCTAGTCTCTTTACTACCAGAGATAGTACCTACCTGTTTACTAACAGAGATAGTATCTACCAGTTGTTTACTACCAGAGATAGTACCTACCTGTTTACTAACAGAGATAGTACCTACCTGTTTTTTACTACCAGAGATAGTACCCTACCTGTTCTTTACTACCAGAGATAGTACCTACCTGTTGTTTACTACCAGAGGACAGAAAACCTACCTCCTGTTTACTACCAAAGATAGTACCTACCTGTTGTTTACTACCAGAGATAGTACCTACCTGTTATTTACTACCAGAGATAATACCTACCTGTTTTACTACCAAGATAGTAAAAAAAATACCTACCTGTTGTATACTACCATAGTACCTACCTGTTCTTTACTACCAGAGATAGTACCTACCTGTTGCTTAATACCAGAATAAGTACTTACTAGTTGTTTACTACCAGAGATAGTACCTACCAGTTGTTTACTACCAGAGATAGTACCCTACTGTTGTTTACTACCATAGATAGTACCTACCTGATGTTTACTACCAGAAATTAATACTCTAATGATATTTACTACCAGAGATATACCTACCTGTTGTTTACTATGAGAGAGTACCTTACTGCTGTTTACTACCATAGTACTTACCTGTTGTTTACTACCAGAGATATTACCTACCTTTTGTTTACTACCAGAGACAATATCCTACCTGCTGTTTACTACCAGAGATAGTACCCTACCTATTGTTTACTACCAAGCATACCTACCTGTTGTTTAGTACCAGAGATAGTACCTACTGTTGTATACTACCAGAGATAGTAACCTAAATGTTGTTTACTACCACAGATACTATCTACCTGTTGTTTACTATCAGAGATTGTACCTACCTGCTGTTTACTACCATAGAAAGCATCATACATGTTTACTACTGGAGATTGTACCTACCTGTTGTTTACTTCTGGAGATAGTACTCTACCAGTTGATTACTACCAGAGATAGTACTCTGCCTGTTGCTTACTTCCAGAGATAGTACTCTACCTCTTATTTACTTACAGAGATAGTACCCTAGCTGTTGTTTGCTACCAGAGATAGTACCTTACCTGTTGTTTACTATAGGAGATAGTATCCTACATCTTGTTTACTACCAGATAGTACCTTACCTGTTGTTTTACTACCAGAAATAGTACCCTGCCTGTTGTTTACTACCAGAGATAGTACTCTACCTGTTTTTCACTACTTTAGTGCCTACTTGTAGCTTACTACGAGAGATAGTACTCTACCTGTTATTTACTTCTGGAGATAGTACTCTAGCTGTTGTTTACTACCAGTAAGAGTACTCTATCTGTTGTTCACTATTATAGTACCTACCTGTAGTTTACTACCAGACATAGTACTCTACCTGTTGTTTACTTCCAGAGATAGTACCCTAGCTGTTGTTTACTACTGGAGATAGTAACCAACCTATTGTTTACTACTGGAGATAGTACCCTACATGTTGATTACTACTGGAGATAGTAACCAACCTATTGTTTACTACTGGAGATAGTACCCTACCTGTTGTTTACTACCAGAGATAGTCAAGTTACTAATGGCCCACGCTGCTTCTTTCTGTGTTTGAAATTCTCCTTTAGTGAGTTGTGTTATAACCATTGGGATCAGTCCTGCATCTATAACTGCTTGAACTTGTTGTTTGTTGCCTGCTGTGATATTGCTCAAGAACCACACTGCTTCCTGCAACACAGTAAACAATGTTAACTCAGGAAGCACATTGTTTCCTGTAAACCAGTAAACAATAACTCAGGGAGCACACTGTTTCCTCTATACTAGCAAACAATATTGCAGAATAAACATAAATACTGCACATTTCAATCCAATGAGGATAGACTGAGGGCACTGTCTATCATATGAGGATAGATTGAGGGCACTCTCTATCCTATGAGGATTGACTGAGGGCACTCTATCCTATGAGGATAAACTGAGGACACTATCCTATGAGGATAGACTGAGGGCACTCTATCCTATGAGGATAGACTGAGGGCACTCTTTATCCTATGAGGATAGACTGAGGGCACTCTCTATCCTATGAGGATAGACCGAGGGCACTGTCTATCCTATGAGGATAGACTGAGGGCACTCTCTATCCTATGAGGATAGACTGAAGGCACTCTATCCTATGAGGATAGACTGAGGACACTATCCTATGAGGATAGACTGAGGGCACTCTTTATCCTATGAGGATAGACTGAGGGCACTCTATCCTATGAGGATAGACTGAGGGCACTGTCTATCCTATGAGGATAGACTGAGGGCACTGTCTATCCTATGAGGATAGACCGAGGGCACTGTCTATCCTATGAGGATAGACTGAGGGCACTGTCTATCCTATGAGGATAGAATGAGGGAACTCTCTATCCTATGAGGATAGAATGAGGGAACTCTCTATCCTATGAGGATAGACTGAAGGCACTCTATCTATGAGGATAGACTGAGGACACTACCCTATGAGGATAGACTGAGGGCACTCTTTATCCTATGAGGATAGACTGAGGGCACTCTATCCTATGAGGATAGACTGAGGACACTATCCTATGAGGATAGACTGAGGGCACTGTCTATCCTATGAGGATGGGATGAGGGCACTGTCTATCCTATGGGATAGACTGAGGGCACTGTCTATCCTATGAGGATAGAATGAGGGAACTCTCTATCCTATGAGGATAGACTGAGGGCACTGTCTGTCCTGCTTTACTTATTTGGCTAACTTTATTAATAATAAACTGTTTTAATTAAGAAAATTTCCCAGTATGACAGTATTGTTAATAACCTCATTAATAACTAACTTCAATAATGACTAACTTTGTATTACCAGTTATTATTTTTGGTATTAAGTTAAAATTATAAACGTTATTACACTTGGTATTACTGCTGGTATTACTCCTGCCCTTATTAGTTTATTACAACTAGTTGTTATTTTTATTATTACTAGTTATTACTCTTGTTATTATTAGTTATTACTGCGGGTATTACTCACAACCTTGTTAATCTTCTCCTTCTGGTGTGTCAGGAGAGCTGGGAAGTGAAACAAAGCTCCGAGTTAAGAACGACCTGGTCTGGTCATCAGTGCCGTAACTATATTACCCACGGCTCTCAGTGCTGCTGTCTGTACCTGTCAAGGAAAACCATGTCATTACTCTAGGTGCCTGTCAATGGTAACCTGTTCATTACTCTAGGTGCCTGTCTATGGTAACCATGCTCATTACTTAGGTGCCTGTCAATGGTAACCATGCTAATTACTCTAGGTACTGTAAATGGTAACCATCCCTCATTACTCTAGGTACCTGTTGAGGTAACATGCTCAATAATCTAGGTACCTGTCAAGGTAACCATGCTCTTACTCAGGTACCTGTCAATGGTAACCATGCCTCATTACTCTAGGTACCTGTCAATGTAACCATGCTCATTACTCTAGGAAACTGTCAATGGTAACCATGCTCATTACTCTAGGTACCTTTTAAGGTAACCAAAGGCTCAATAATCTAGGTACCTGTCAAGGTAACCATGCTCATTACACTAGGCACCTGTCTATGGTAACCATGCTCATTACTCTAGGTACCTGTCAGGGTAACCATGCTCATTACTCTAGGTACCTGTCAAGGTAACCATGCTCATTACTCTAGGTACCTGTCAATGGTAACCATGCTCATTACTCTAGGTACCTGTCAATGGTAACCATGCTCATTATTCTAGGTACCTGTCAAGGTAACCATGCTCATTACTCTAGGTACCTGTCAAGGTAACCATGCTCATTACTCTAGGTGCCTGTCAATGGTAACCATGCTCATTACTCTAGGTACCTGTCAATGGTAACCATGCTCATTACTCTAGGTACCTGTTGAGGTAACCATGCTCAATAATCTAGGTACCTGTCAAGGTAACCATGCTCATTACTCTAGGTACCTGTCAATAGTAACCATGCTCTATTACTCTAGGTACCTGTCAATGGTAACCATGCTCATTACTCTAGGTACCTGTCAAGGTAACCATGCTCATTACTCTAGGTACCTGTCAAGGTAACCATGCTCATTACTCTAGGTGCCTGTCAATGGTAAACCATGCTCATTACTTAGGTACTGTCAATGGTAACCATGCTCATTACCTGGGTACCTTTTTGAGGAAAACCATGCTCAATAATCTAGGTACCTGTCAAGGTAACCATGCTCATTACTCTAGGTACCTGTCAATAGTAACCATGCTCATTACTCTAGGTACCTGTCAATGGTAACCATGCTCATTACTCTAGGTACCTGTCAATGGTAACCATGCTCATTACTCTAGGTACCTGTCAAGGTTAACCATGCTCATTACTCTACGTACCGGGTCAGGGTAACCATGCTCATTACTCTAGGTACCCATCAACGGTAACCATGCTCATTACTCTAAGTACCCATCAACGGTAACCATGCTCATTACTCTAGGTACCCATCAACGGTAACCATGCTCTTTTGCTCCTAGGAAACCTTGTCAATGGTAACCATGCTCATTACTCTAGGTACCTGTCAAGGGTTTAACAATGCTCATTAGTCTAGGTACCTGTCAATGGTAACCATGCTCATTACTCTAGGTACCTGTCAAGGTAACCATGCTCATTACTCTAGGTACCCATCAATGGTAACCATGCTCATTACTCTAGGTACCTGTCAATGGTAACCATGCTTATTACTCTAGGTACCTGTCAAGGTAACCATGCTCATTACTCTAGGTACCTGTCAAGGTAACCATGCTCATTACTCTAGGTACCTGTAAAGGAAAACCTTTGCTCATTACTCTAGGTACCTGTCAATGGTAACCATTGCTTATTATTAGGTACCTGTAAAGGTAACCATGCTCATTACTCTAGGTTCCTGTCAAGGTAACCATGCTCATTATCTAGGTACCTGTCAGGGAAAACCATGCTCATTACCCTAGGTACCTGTCAATGGTAACCTTTGCTCATTACTCTAGGTACCTGTCAAGGTAACCATGCATTACATACCTGTCAAGGTAACATGTATTATTTCTAGGTACCTGTCAATGGTAACCATGCTCTTTACTCTAGGTACCTGTCAAGGTAACCATGCTTTTTAAACTCTAGGTATTCTGTCAAGGGTGACTGTGCTTGTTACTCTAGGTACCTGTCAAGGTAATCATGCTCTTTTATTCAAAGTACCTGTCAATGGTAACCATGCTCATTACTCAAGGTACCTGTCAAGGGTAATCATGCTCATTACTCAAGGTACCTGTCAAGGGTAACCATCCTCATTACTCAAGGTACCTGTCAATGGTAACCATAATCATTACTCTAGGTACCTGTCAAGGTAACCATAATCATTACTCAAGGTACCTGTCAATGGTAACCATGCTAATTACTCAAGGTACCTGTCAAGGGTAACCATGCTCATTACTCAAGGTACCTGTCTAGGGTAACCATGCTCATTACTCAAGGTACCTGTCAATGGTAACCATAATCATTACTCTAGGTACCTGTCAAGGTAACCATGCTCATTACTCAAGGTACCTGTCAAGGGTAACTGTGCTTGTTACTCTAGGTACCTATACCACACTGTAGTACATACACTATACTTATTTTAGGATGGATTTAAGAAGGGAAAAAGGAGATTATTTTTCAGTAAAATTAGGCCTTAGGTATGTGTAATGTCACAATGGTTGTTTAACATTTATTGATGGAGATGTACCCGTAATTCTCCCTATTTTACACTTACACTCACCCAAATGACTGTAAATAATAAAATTCCAAATAGTTATTGCCTAATTAATCTTAAGTTAGTCCTAAGTTTGTTTGAAATACTCAACCAATGTAAGAGCTCTTCTGGAAAAAAAGTGTATTATTTCCAAAATAAAACCATTCCCATTACTAAATTTACTAATGGTAATAAGTTATATGTTTTGAACTACCTATTATTAATCTTATTAATGATAGAATTTTTACTTATACCTAACATTTATGTCACTACACATTAATGAACATTAATCTACTGTTCAATAACCCGTGTCAATAAAGAGTAGTCAGTAAGAATTAGGATTTGTTGCCCAAAATGCCTGGCATTGCTAGTGGCTTTCTTTGTAATTAACATTTTGTAATTGTAACTGACACACTGTGAGTTTTGCAAGGAAATAATCGTTTTCATTTCATTTCAAAGGGTAGACTATGTGTAGACCAAGTGTAGACACTGATGCAGAATAACAAAGTTTGTAACTGTCAAGAGATGATGCTTGGTGAGTCATAAAACAACAATATACAGTTAAAGTGTTCCTGGAATACTGTATATCCTTTGTGATAACCAGTGTCCAGCATAGTGCTAAAATGACAGAAAAAAAAATAATAGTGAAGTGTGTCAGACTGTCAGACAATTTAACACCACCACCACATCCTTGACATCCTACATGCAGAGCAGAAGGTAAAGTGAAAATCAGGTTTGGTGGCACCCAGACAGCAAGTAGGATACAGGCAGGATTGCAGTACAGTATACCTGTGGGACATGTGAAAAAGCCCCTGGAAGAAAGCCAGGATGACATGCAATCTATGTTTTTTCCAAACACAATATTTTCTTGCCAAGAATAATTTCTACATCCAAAAAAATGATATACCAAGGTGTTTCTGGATTTTCAAGAGAGAGATGGAACTTAGGACAGGTATCAGGAAAGTACTTGGGAGGGTTATAATAAATAATAAGCAGGAAAACCCAAAGAGGACAGTCTACCCAAAAAACATAGAACATGGGAGGATGGGGGGAGAGCATAGTTTAACCCCTTTCACTGTCGGACCCTGATCCTGAACTCACTGTGTCAAAAAATTTTAAAAAAAAAAAAAAAATTTAATTTTTTTCTCCCAAAATTTTAAGAAATGTTTGGAGTCTTTAAAAAAAAAAAAAAAATTTGCGATCGTACTTCGGATGCGAGGCGTGAAGTTGACAGAGTAAACTTAGGGAAAACTTTAGTGACGCCGCTCATTGGAAATTTAAGGGGACCCCGCATACCGCACACAGCATACCGTAAAACCCGATACCTCGCTTTTTTGAAAAAAAAAAAAATTTTTGCCTCGCATACGCCAAAAACCCGCTCCCCCTTCGTCCGAGACCAGTCCAATGTGCGGCCTGACCCCGTCACATTTTTCCGCGGTGGCATTTTTACCCACCCAGCCCCCCGCGGAAACATCCAAGCTCAATCCTTTCGTTATTATTCGTTTTTTTGGTGTTTTTTTTTGGAAAAAAAAAGTGGACCGGGCCCCCAAAGAAAGCTTTAGTGCCAAACCCTACAGCATAAGGGTGGAATTACTATGAGATGAGAAAAAAGATCATTGAAAGTTGAAAGTGGATGGTGTCTCGAGCGGGCCCAGGTTGTATAATAAAAACCCCCACCACGTACTATTTGGGGGTACAGCTGCTGCTGCACTGTCAGGTGCTGCTGCTGCTGTTGTAACCCCCCGTCAGCTGTGCTGCTGCTGTGATGTTGCTGTGCTGTGCATCGTCTGTTTCTGCTGTAGCTCGTCTGCTGCTGCTGTAGCTCGTCTGCGTGCTGTGCATCGTCTGTTTCTCTGTGCATCGTTGCTGCTGCTGTAGCTCGTCGTTGCGCTTAGCTCGTCTGTTGCTTTTGTACACCGTTGCTGCTGCTGCTGCTTAGCACCGTTGTTGGTGTGGCTTATTTGGGAAAACAAAAAACAATTAACCCAGAGGATTTTTCCCCCCCCCGGAAACCAAAAAAGTCAGTGTCTCGAAGCGTCTAACTTATTTCCATTTGGGGGCCTTAATTTGTCTCCCGGGTGCAACCCCCACCGTCGACTAACCCAGGTGAACAGGGAAAAAATGCCTGGAACTATGCTCATATTGGTGAATTTTAAACCGCAAAGGTTGGTTTTAGAGATTTAAAAAATGTAGTGGCATAACAGGTGTTAAAGGCCTGTTCTGGAAGAAAATGCCAACAGGCCCACAGTACTCAGGAGGAAAGGGGACTCCAGGACACAGTGTCTCACAGTCTTGCTGCATCTTCAATAAAGGGGAAATGTCTTATTCTTCATTTTAGATAGTACATGCACAATATTATTGTGCATGTACTACTCTATATTGTGCAGTATCCTTCTCTTTGTGTGTGGAAAAAATTATTCTGTGGGGA